AAAAATACCTTAACTTTTGCTTATTCATTACAGTCAGGGTTGACAAAAAAGAATGACTTTCTGTGGGAAGAAGCTCCCACCACATAAGAGATTTTAAATCTCAGATGCTAAAATTGTATTCCTATCTTGCTGAATTATTATTCCTCTCATAGACTTGACCTGGTGCTCACCACTGTCGAGAATTCTTTCTCCTTACTGGACAGAGTCTGCCCAGTCTGGCCAATATTTATCCTTTAAATGATGATAAGTCAGGCATGGAACAGGATCAGAAGGTTAGACCATTCCAAAGGCACAGATCCACCTGCTGGCATGACTACACTCATGGTATGAGGTCTTTAGCACGAACAAAGTTTGGGCTGCCTGTAATACTAGATTGGGTGTTGTAATACTTTCCAAACTCTCAGGTTCCAAGGGTACTCGAAAATGAGAAATATTTTACAATTCACACTGAAGTTTTGACAGTTGTTAAATGGTGCCACTTCCTGACTTTCAGGAAGAAATGCCAACCTACCAAGATGACCAAAAGTCATGCTGTCCACAACCCACAACTATTTTCCTCAGTTTCAAACTTAATGCAACCGTATCATATATTTAGCAAACCTCGACAAACATCAGAGAAAAAGGACAGGACAGATCAGACAGGACAGGCAGGCTAGTATGTCTGATGTCTAAAGAGATTGCTTTAAAAAGTTATTTATACCGTCAACATAACACAACAGAGATCATATAAAATTACTAAGTAGGCTCTTTAGCAACTCCTTCGATAGCTCAGTTGGTAGAGCGGAGGACTGTAGTGGAGTTTCTCATCTTTGAGATATCCTTAGGTCGCTGGTTCGAATCCGGCTCGAAGGATAAGTGTTTTGATGGGAATATACATATAAGGCTCTTTCAGACAAAACCTAGGATGATATGACCCGTCCCACCTACTGACTCTTCTCTTTAGACGCCACTGGAAGTGTAGATAGAATTCCATATTCGACATTATCAGTCTTTACAAAAGAAAAAAAAAAAAAGAATTTTATGAGGCCATGCCAAGCATACCCAAAAGCAAAACGTCAGGTACCATTTCCCAGATAAAGCCAGCAGTTCAGATCCGTTTGCACAGTGTGTCCCCAACACACTACGCCCACCTCTGACCATTCTGTGCACACCTAAGATGTGCAATCTTCTCACCAGGGAGGGTAAAGGTCTGAGTGAGGGAATGAAAGAGGGACCGGGTTCGTGTTCCTTTCCTCCTCCCCACCGCGAGCGAAGACAATTGAAGGAGTCTCTCAAAATGACAGGCGATGGTTGTAGAGATCCAAGCTGGAATCCCAGCAACTACAGGGGTTGGAGCCAGAGAATCTAGGCAGAGCTTGTTTTTGCAGTTTTTGTTTTTTGCTGTTGGTGTCTGCGTTTTGTTTTTTTCTTCCTCAGAGGCTTTCTGGTGCGCCTAGGCTAGCCGAAAACCTGCCCGCAGACCTCCAGAAGCTGCCCACTCAGCCACCAGTTGAGTCCACTCTACCTGTGAAGATGTGGCAGCGTCAGTGGACGAGCAGAGGAGCCTCATGAGAAAAGTCTGGACGGTTTCTTCAGAAACTGGGGTAATTCCTCAGGAAATTCCTTCTGGAACAAATATTCTTCTCTTCCGCCAGCTCCAAATAGGTTTGTCTTCACAAAGTTCTGGGGCTAGAACGGGAATTGAAGTGTAAGTATTCTTCACTGGGGAAACACTTTAATTTTAATGTGATGATCTTTCACAGTTAAAATACTAGAACTAGTTCCATGGATGCTACTTGCTCTCTTTACCTTTTATAACTAATAAACTTTAAAATTTATAAATTCCAACAAATAAATAAAAGCTTCTCTGGATGGCATCCTATGTTTTCCCACGGTACTCGTTTTTCTGTCTTAGGCACCAGGAAGCGGAGGTGGTCGCTAGCCAAGCATAACAGCATGCTTAAATATGGAATGGTTAAATTTATTATCTTTGGGGTATACGTTATGATTTGTTTATTTGTTCCTGCATAATTGTTCAATATAACCGGGTCACTCCATTCCTAAAGACATGCAGTACTGGTTAGATTTTATCAAACTTGACACAAGCTAGTGATCTGGAAGAGGGAGCCTCATTTTGAAAATGCCTCTATCAGACTGGCCTGTAGGCAAGTCTCTGGGGGAGTTTTCATGATTAATAATTGATGTGGGTGGCTCAGCCCACTGTGGGTGGTGCCACTGCTGGACAAGTGGTCCTGGGTTGTATCAGAAAGCAGGCTGCGTAAGCAATGGTGAGCAAGCCAGTAAGAAGCATTCTTCCATGTTACTTACCTTCTTCATTTTCTGCTGCCAAGTGCCTGCTTGCTTGAGTTTCTGCCCAGGTTTCCCTTATAATACACTGTGATCAAGATGCGTAACTTAAACTCTTTCCTCCCCAAGTTGCTTTTGGCCGTAGTATTTTAACTCAGTGACAGACGCCAAACTAAAACACATATGAAAAGCCTATCAAATTTTGTGTCTGATGTCGTTGCATTCACCTTTCTTCCCTTAGTCTTCAGAAAAAATCATGCATTTCTCTCAACTGGGCAATAGTTCTGCTTCAGGATTGTATTGTCTCCGATAATGTTATTTTCTCTCACTTTTAACAGAGGGAGGAAGGTCCTAAAGAAACAGGACAGGACAGTAGGACAAGTCCAATGAAAGCAATATTCTAATACCTTAAAAGACTTTTCTGGTTGGTTGGTTGTCTGCTTTTTAAAATTAGTCAGAAAGTAGTATAAAACAACCAGTTATTTCATAAATCATCGGCATGTTGTTATCTCCCTTCGATAGCTCAGTTGGTAGAGCGGAGGACTGTAGGTGAATTTCCTGGGTATCCTTAGGTCGCTGGTTCGAATCCGGCTCGAAGGAAGAGCCTTTTGGTGAGCTTCAGATTCCCATTATCAAAAGACAATATAAAACCACCAATATTTATTAATGACCTTAAGGACTCTAGTTCAGATTTGTAGGAGAGTCAAGTTTATTCCTATAAATTACATTCAGTTTAAATCCATAATACTAATGTGATGGTCTTTTAGAGATAAACATAAAAGAAAATTTTTCATACATGTCATAATTTATAATATCCAAACCTTTAATAGTTCATATATTCCATAAAATATCCCTGGATGGCTTGTTTTTCCCAATGGCGCTCATTTTTCTTAGGATCAGGATGCTGAATGTCACCATAGGTTCTTGTTAGCCAAGCATGACAGCATACTTAAAATGGAATGGTTAAAATTACTTTTTGAGATGTATGCATAATGCTTCGTTTATTTGCTCCACTACAATTGTGCAGAATAGCATGTTTCACTCCTTTTCTAGATCCACGTTAGAGGCATCTCATGCATTTGTGTTTTCCTTGTCCAGAAAGGAGAATCACGCGCTTCTCTGGTGAAATGGGCAACAGTTGTGCTTCAGGGGTCTATGCTATCATTGTCATTTTCTTTCAGTTTAAATAGAGAAAGGAGCTGCTAAGGAGACTGGAGAGTTCAGCGGGGAACGTGCATCAAAGGGTTTGGATGATCTGGTCTGTAAGGATTCAGTGCATGAACGTTTCTAGGAGCATTTTGGGGCGGGGGGGAGGGGGAATCTATGTGAACTACGTATACATTGAAAAGCACACATCTCAAACATGTTCTTAAATACCTGTTGTGTGGTCACTAGCTAATTTACTTTTAAAATATTCTAGTACCTCAAAAACATTTCCATATCGTCCATTTTAAAATGAATCAAAGGCAGTGCAACAAATCCACCAGCTACTTTATAAGCCTTAAAGAAAGCACTATTGTCTTCCTTCGATAGCTCAGTTGGTAGAGCGGAGGACTGTAGGTTAGTCATGGTAATCCTTAGGTCGCTGGTTCGAATCCGGCTCGAAGGAATGACCTTTTGAAACAACTCCACCAGCGCCATATTATTCCCAAGATTTTTAAGGAAAATTGAAGAACCCTGTGACAAAAAACGTCATGTGAATATACACATATAAAAGTTGGGGTGGTGAAATAAACAAGCATAATCAACAAACCCGAAATGCTGTTCAAAGAAACCAAACAATAAGGTATTCTCCGAGTTACCTAAAGAAGTTTCTCTTCACGAAATTCAGACCGGATCATGACGAGTGTTAATGCCTTGAACCACGATTTTGCATGTTCATTCATTGGAGAGTCAACGATTCTTCACTATATTCATGCTTTAAAAATGTTAATTAAATTTTTAAAGGCGTCTCTCTTGTAGACCAGGCTGGTGTAGAACTAATTTATCTTCCTTTCTCCACTTGCCAAGAACTGAGGATTACATGGCTGCCACCACTCGCGGTTGACTGGGCACTTAATGTTTATAAACATTTCCCTAACAATAATTACAAGCACACACAAAGTAGAGAAATAACATCAGGTGTTGCCACTTAGCTACCGCTTCAGACACCCTGGCATCTTCACATGCGCCCCTCCCCCAGCCTTATTGTTCTGTAGTAACTGTAAGAGGTGTTCTCAAGCGTCAGTCAGCGTTGCTGGTGAAGTAGTAGTCGGTAAAAATTAAAAGTAGGAGTGTGTTCTCGCCACACCCCAAAAGAAACAGAGGTAGCCAACAGAAAGTTCTCTTCAATGAAAGCAGCAAAACAAACTCACAATAAATCCAGGTTTAATTATTAGGCCTTCAGATGCACTCGAGCTGTAACAAAGAACACCCGGAGCCTGCCAACAGTTGTCCCGGATTCTGTCCTCTATAATTTTCGTGGTGATGGAGGATAAGAAATTATGTGGGGCCTCGGCGAGAGAACACTTAAATCCTCAGGGTCGTCCTGGGCTCCGTTCGCAAAGCAGAAGGGACGGTTGGTTCGCGAATTCCAGCACCATCCAGGAGCCTCACCAGCTGGCTTTAGCAATCTGAGGCACAGCAGCTGCCACTTCGCTGGGCCTGGAGCCCTAGGTCCCAATAATAGCAAGACTCGGCACCGGCGACCAGCGGGAATGAGGACCGCGCCCCCTGGCGGCTGCTCCAAGGCTGCGCGGGGCACTGACCGAAGCGTGGCCAGAGAGCCGAACTGAGCACGGCGGCCCGCACCCTTCGCTCACCAGCTTGCAGTAGAAACGCACAAGAGTAGTCAGAGAAAAGTCTTTAAATACATTCAAACACTTAAATATTCACAAAGTTAAGTTTAAAAATCACTAGAGGCGCGCTTAAAAATTTAAAAGCACAAATCCAATTAGAATCCCGAAGTTATATATGGGCAAATCTATAAGCTGCCTCAAAAACTTTTTTTAAAAAATGTTTAAAACTCAGATGAAATTTCAAATAATTAGAACTTCAGAGCCCTGACTGAAATTTACGAACTGAACTTCATAAATCTTTTAAAAGATGAGCGTTATCCCCCTCAGCCGCATTCGCACCACGGTCCTGGAATAAAATACTATTTTGGTCTCTACAACATAAACTTACCCAACAAGTTCTGCAAAAAAAAAACCCGTGAGAGGCACCTGGACACGCATTTGGTGCATGCAGGCAAAAACACTCATACACATTAAAAAAAAATTAAAAATACTCCTCCACAGCTTGCCTCAGGCCAGGGTCCAGGCTCGCCCCGGGCGGAGGCGGTCTACAGGGACCCGCTCTCTGTGGCTCCGCCTCTGATTCCAGAGTCGTCTTCTGGCCCCGCCCCAAACCCCGCCCCATACCCCGAATCCAGCTCTGAACGTCCTTTCGCGTTTGCCTGGTCTGCCCGGTTCCCCAGCAACGGACCACGCCGTCTTTCTATTGGTCTTCACGGGATTGTCCCCACCTCACGTCACCGAACCACACACAGGTTTACGTCATAGGCCACCTTTATTCCCTCCCCTGATCGCAGATCGTCTCGCAGGATATGCGTCATCGGGTGGCGACGGGTTTACGGGCTGTCGTGCTTCCCATATCCGCCATCATGAAAGCCGCGGAGTTGGTGGAAGAGCAAAAGGCGCCGATGGATGAAGAGACGCAGGAAGAGGCAGAGCTGAACGCAGAGGCGGCGGAGGATCAGGAGGAGTCCGAGGAAGCGGCCTGCGACAGCAGCAAGAAGAAGAAGAAGGTAGTGCCGGGTATTGTGTACCTGGGACACGTCCCGCCGCGATTCCGTCCCCTGCACGTACGCAATCTGCTCAGCGCCTACGGTGAGGTCGGACGCGTTTTCTTCCAGGCCGAGGGTAAGCCCTGCGTTGGAAGGAGAGGGTGGCGAGGCAGGCCGGTGGGCACGACTTATTGCAGGCTGTACTGGGTGAGGCGTGGGTTGTTGACTTTTGGAAGGCTCCGGCTCCCTACTGGCTGTTAAGTCTGTAGCATTAACATCTCTTAGAAGGCTGGGCCGGGGAAGGAAAATGGAGAGGGCGGGCGGATAGAGTGATGATAACTCCCGAAACACTGTATGGTTAGCCTCCTTCAGCCTCGTCCACCTCTTGACATGCACAATTTGGAGATGGAGGTGGGAACTGGTGCGGCTGGCTCTTGGTGTTCAGGGTGTTGTCATTTGAAGACAGGAATGAGTTGAGGAAAGGAGAGTCCTTTTCCATCAACAATTGTGAACTAACACCCGAGCTAACAGGTTTGGACTTCTGGCCAAACAGAGGTGTGTCTCAGTGGATGCTTGACCAGGATGTTCGTTGTTTTGGGCCCACAGACCGCTTTGTGAGACGCAAAAAGAAGGCAGCTGCAGCCGCAGGAGGAAAGAAGGCAGCTAAATACAGCAAGGACTATACAGAAGGCTGGGTGGAATTCCGTGACAAGCGCATAGCCAAGCGAGTGGCAGCCAGTCTACATAACACGCCCATCGGTGCCCGAAGGCGCAGTCCCTTCCGTTATGACCTGTGGAACCTTAAGGTGAGGCTCTAGCTTTGTCTGCCACACTTTGATGATTCTTTCCAGCCCTAGCCCAGGCATGTCGTTTCTCTCGTTAACTCCCAACAGCTCCCAGTTTCTTTCTGGTCTTCCCTGCCTTGACCTTTTCATATTTTCCTGTCCACAGTATTTACATCGTTTTACTTGGTCCCACCTCAGCGAACACCTTGCCTTTGAGCGCCAGGTACGCAGGCAACGCCTAAGGGCAGAGGTTGCCCAAGCAAAGCGAGAGACTGACTTCTATCTTCAAAGTGTAGAACGGGGACAACGCTTCCTTGCCGCTGAGGGGGATGCTACTCGCCCGAATAGTTCCTGGACATTTGCACAACGTCCCACAGAGCAGGAGCTGAGGGCCCGGAAGGCCGCACGGCCAGGAGGGCGGGAACGAGCTCGCCTGGCTAATGCCCAGGACCAGGCCAGATCCAACAGAGGGCTCCTTGCCAGGATATTTGGAGCCCCTCCACCTGCAGAGAGCAAGAAAGAACCATAGCCAGCAAGGGACTCCTGGTAGAAAGAGAAGCCTCTTCCGGTCTGCCTCCCACAGACTGTCCAGACAGATGTTTTTTCTATTCTGCAGACCAAGAGTCTGGTAAAAGACTTTTTTTGTTGGCCTCTTTTACCCACCGTGACCGAATCCTGTAAGTTTCCAGCTGAGAACTTAGGCTTGCTATCCAAGATGATTACTTCTGGTTGCTTGCCTCTTTCTCAATGTGCCCCTAACAATTTCTGGCTCCTGGAGTGGATTTTCCTTCCATTAGAGCAGCAGTGACATACCAGTGTGGTCTATGATGTTCATCCACTGTGGTGGGGCAGAATTAACAGGAATTGGGTTAGTGGCCCAATTTGAAGTTTTTGTTTGAAAATAAAAAAAAAAAATATTCTTGTATGCTTTTTAGTTTTTAGGTGGGAATTATTGAATGGGTTTCAATTTCTTTTGAAGCCAAACATGCTACTCAGTTACTCTAGCACAGGCATGATCCCAGTGCACCCCTGACTCTCAGTTATTCTAGCAGATATGAGCCCAGTGCTCCTCACCTTCAAGTTCAGGCTAGTCTTGAGTCATTCTGTAAGTTGCTCAGGTAAGCCCTGAACTTGAAATCCTATTTCAGCCTCCCAAATAACTGGGATTATAGGTCTGTGTCAACAAACCTAGCTTCAATGTTCTTAAATAAGTAAAATAATTTTTTCTTTGTTCAATAAATATCTTGAAAAGATGTTTACAAGCTGTCATGAACCCTATTTTTAAAAATGTTTCAATACTCATTTTGGTTCATGTCTTATGTACAAAAATTGCCTATGTGGTAAGAAAGACATTTACTACTAGATCTAGGGGAAAAATTACTGCCGATGTATGAACCCTTCATGGATCTAGTCCACCTGCCTTTCCAGCAGGTGTTCTTATCTCAGTCCAGCCTGCACTGTGGTTCTATCACATGGGCTACCTTCCTCAGCCCCTTCTGAAACTTCTCTTCCAACCCTCGTTCCCTCCCCTACAAGCTCAGGTGCATTCATTCTTCTTTGAAATCAAGTCAAATAGGGTATCAGCTGGCTTCCCCACCTAAAGTGGGTGCTCTGTTTCTGTGGGGCTGGAGCAGTGTCAGATTTCTGGGGTAGCATTTCTCCTGTTTTACAGTTATTGTTGATATTTGCTTTCCTGGTGTTACCAGGAATGAAGAACAAACTTTATCTTTAACTCCTTATGGTTTCAGTTTGTTTGACAATAAATATTCACTAACTCTCTGAGTTATTTGAAGAGAGATTTTATAAAAATCCTAAGTAATATGTTCTGCACTTTACCCATGATGTTTTCTTTGATAACCAATTCGGGAACTATCATCTACTTGTGACAGTGATCACAAGTGGCAGAAAGTTCTTTGTCTAAAGAGTCACATAGCTAATAAAAAAGGAGAGTTACATCTCCATCAGGGTCTCTGTTTAAACCTATTCTTTCCACATTAAGCCTCTTCTACAGCAACAGTGGTAAGAACAGTGAAAGTTAATGGAACACAGTAATCTGGTTCTGCTGTGTGACTAGAGCATAGTAATGAAACATTGACAAAACCAAGTGTTAGCTGGGCTTTGTGTAAGCCTTTAATCTCAGTACTTGGGAGACAAAGACAGGCAGATCTCTGAGTTTAAGGCCAACCTAGTCTACATGGTAAGTTCCAGGACAGCCAGGCCACATTGTCTCAAAAACAAGAAAGAAAGAACCAAGTGTTACTGGAGATGCTTCAAAAATAACACTGGAAAGCAATGAGCATTTTCTATTTTGTAGATAAATTTCTGATTTCCAAGGTTGGGTATTTAGGGTTCCTACCCTGTCCTGTGGTGGAAAGTGGAGCCTGCTACCTCAACTGTCTTAAAAACTGCACTTGTAAGGCAGTGTGGAGTCATGTGCGGTTAAGGTCACTGTGCCCATATTTTCTGAATCTCAGCTGGCAATACAGGATGTGGACTAGCTTGCTTCTATGACGGTTTTCCCTGGAAATTAGTTATAACCTGATGTGGGATAAATGTAAGGAACAGTGCTTTTGTTTTTTAAATTGGTCTTTTTAAAAATAAATTATTTTTATTTTATGTGTATTGGTGTTTTGCCTGCGAGTATGTCTGTGTGAGGGTGTTGTATCCCCTGGAACTGGAGTTTAAGACAGTTACAAGCTGCCATGTGGGTGCTAGAAATTGAACACCGGGCCCTCTGGAAGAACAGCCCATGCTCTTAACTGCTAAGCCATCTCTCCAGCCCCTTAAATTGATCTCTTTAAAAAGAATTTTTTTTTTTTTATGTGTATGGGTGATTTACCTTCAGGTATGTCTGTGAACAGAAGGCATTACATTCCCTGGTGCAGACAGCTGTGAAAGTTGGGAACCCAGGTCCTCTGAAAGAAAAACCAGTGCTTTTGACTGGGGAGCCATCTCTCCTCCATCAAGGACTAGCACCCTAGTTTTGATATGGGGATATGATAAGGGCATAGCTCCAATGCTTGACTGTATCATCACCGATTGCCACAACTGCCCAGTCTTCCATTCCAGCAAAAAAGTGATTTTATTCCAGTCCTCCTTGTCCTAGCTTTGGAGGAGCAGACTCATGCACAGCACCAAATATGTTATTAGATGAATTAATGCTAGGGTTTCTTCTTGGTAGTAGTTGGATGAGGTGTGTAATCAGATCTACACACTGAAGGAGGGAGATGCACTCAGCATGTTCTCCAGAAGTGCAAGTGAGGGGTCTGTTGCTTTTTCTCCGGACTTTGTCAGGAGCTAGTGAGGGTTAAAAGGAACTTCAGGCAATACAAGAGTGTGAGGCTTGTGTTGGGGTTGACAGCAGATTCAATGACCTCATGAGACACTAAGTATGTATGACTGAATACGGAGAGCTTTAGACACTCTGGTGCACTTGCCTAAAATTTTCCTTTTTGCCAGTGAGTTGGGGCTTTGGATTTGACCATTATAATCCACGCAGGTCAAGAAAATCTTCAGAAAGCGTCTTTTTGAAAAGTTCCTCAAAGATCTCCGTTATAACTTTCATTGAAAGGGTGTAAAGAGGCCAAATAAGGGAATGGATCTTGGGGTTAGCTTTAGGAATGGAACGGATTTTAGCAAGGGAGAGGAAAAAGGGTAGAGGGACAAAAAATGTCTGCAATGCTTTGCCGGGCTCAGGCCTGTGTTTGGCATGCTGGGGCCTGCTAGAGCCCCTTCAACCAAGGCACAGACAGGCCAGAAAAGGAGACTGGAGTTTGGACCTCTAAGCTGGTCTTCTCTCTTCTGGATGTTATGTGATCTTGTATAACTCAAGTTTTGTTTTTGTTTTTGTTTTTTTAGTTGGGAAGACTTTTAGATTATGTTTTAAATTGTTTTTCATTGAATGTTCCTGACGATGTAATTCTTTGTACTACAAAATTTAATGTATCTTATTATTTAAAAAGGCATCTTATCGGTTTGAATTATACAGTGTGAAGAGTGTTAGGAGTATGTTTAAAATGTCAGAATTATGAATATTCTGATGATTTACCTGGCATATGTTGTCTCGACTCTCAAAAAGTAGCATGCCAGGAATCTATCTGAAAATTCTGAGAAACTTTTGTTTTCACAGTGTGTTAGAATTCTAAACTTTACCATCGCTGATAAATAAACCGACTCTGTGTGTGTGTGTGTGTGTTCAGGTAAAAGCAAGGTTGAAAGAGGAGATGTGCTCCTGGAGTAGAAACTCCAAGGTCAGTGCCATTGCTTGGGGCTGTCCACTTCCACCTTTCTAATAGCCCTTGTGTGTGTGGACCAGGGGTAAAGCATCTATGAATTCACACTTTTGTTCTCTAATGCTTTCAAACACACTGGTAACAGGCCTCCTATTATAGTTATGCCTCCACTGTCTTAGAACCTCTACAGGTAAACACAGCCTGACCTATTGAAAGGAGACAGGTATAGCGTGCGCGAAGATGATCCGTAGTCCGTAAGGCTAAGATTTCTTTATTTAGATAAACACCAGCCAAATGCAGCGCGTGCGCAGAGGTAGCAAGCTACCGAGGCCAGAGAGAAGGGCTCTCCTGGTGTCCGCGATCCCTTAAGAACCCCGCCCCCCCATCCTCTACCTCCACTGACCACGCAGGCACACCTGTAGCGGCTACTAGGAGGCGGGGCTACAGTGTCTCCCTACAGACAAGTGAGATTCCCTTCCATCTCTGAATCTTCAAAGCAACAGCGTGGATATTCAGCATGGATATTGAGTGATATAGCCCTGCATTTACTTCCCTAGTCCTCATATTCATTAGGACGACTCCTAATGTAATCTTCTACTTTTAGGCTGAGACTATGGCCATCGTGAAATTGCAGTGGGAAATTCCAGATGTCACCACTTGCCTGGTGATGATGACTCATGGTAAAATGCAACTTACCCTGTGATATCCTTCTAAGGGACACAGTTTTCGACACACTCTTCTGTCCCTAGAACAACTTCAGTATTAATGCTTTGTGACCTCAGAAGCTGACTGAAGATGGTGTTACTCCTTCATCAAGACAACCATGTTTAGCAAATGTGAAAAGGAAAAATATCTCAATCCTCCCAAGACCTCTGCTCCTTACCCCTCCCCTTCCCAGCCTCACCTGCCCTATGTGCAGCCCTCTACTCCATCCTTACCCCGTCTCAGTCTGCCTGCCTTTAGCGTTGCAAGAGGGGACAATGTTGATTCTTTTAAATGTGAACTGACCTCAGGGTTTATCTTCAAGCTTTCTATTTGTAGAAGTGTGTTTCATGGTGTTTCCATTGACTAGATTCATTTTCTTCTGTGAAGTGAAGTGTGAGTACACATAAAAACCAAATTCACAATGAAGATCCACATTAGAACTTTCAGATTAAGAAGGAAAAGCTTAACCATCTCTCTATCAAATGGCAGGGGAAGTTGTTGCATTCAAGTTAAAAGCTTAGGGGGAACAGGCATCCTGCTTTTAATCTTATTTTGTTATTTCACTTATTCTTTTGTTTGTAGAGATACATGATATATTCCCATGACCATCCTGGAGCTGACTACATAGACCAGAATGGCCTTGATTATGCCCCAGTTCTGTATGTCAGTAAACACACTTATTTCATAGAATAACTTGTGCACCACTCTCAAACTGGAAATAGACCCAATTAAGACTTTTTTTTTCTTTTCTTAAATTTATTTTTGAGGCATGGTCTCACTATACAGCTCTGCCTGACCAGGACTTCACCATATAGACCAGGCTGACCTCAAACTCACAGAAATCCACCCCCCCAACTCCCCTCACCCTGCCTCCTCTCAGTGTGCCCTGCTATCCCAGTGTTGAGATGAAAGGCATGTACCACCACACCAGATCCAATTAAGATCTTTATTTCGGATTTCATAGTTTTATGTATTTTTTATTTTTATCTATTTTTGGACAAGGTCTCACTCAGATAATCTGGCTAACCTCAAACTTCAGGTTCTCCGGCCTCAGCCACTTCTGGGAATGCACATCTGGCTGCAGAATAGGGGAGCTGATGAGGGAAGTCCGCCTCTATTCTTGGTCTCTTCAATAAAAGAATTTAGAGAGAGACAAGGGAGTCTAGCAAGCCAAAGTGTTCACTTACAAAGCTCAAATGCATGCTGGGTAGCAGAATGGCAACCTCGGGTAGGGACTGAGGAACCCAAAGCACAGTGGAACAGACAAATTCAGGTGAGCTTTAACATCAGCACAAAGAGCAGCAGCATCTTTAAACACTAGCAACAAAACGCTTGAAAGGGTTTTAAAAACTCCAAATACAGTAGCTACAAAATTAAAACGATGCATTTATCCAACAGGCTGAAAGCTATAAAACATTTAAAATGCTATGAAAGTAGAAAAAATGATAGCAGTTTCAGGAAAACAAAACAAAACAAACAAAAAACTAAAATAAAAAAACAAACAAAACAAGACTGATCATAACTATCTGACTCAACAATATATTCTACAAAGTTCTAGTGACCCAAACACTATGGTACTGGCATTAAAAACATATGTAGACCAATGAAATGAATAGAAAACCCAGAAATAAGTCTATGAATGTACAGTCAGTCCATTCTTCAAAAGGTTGTTAAGACCTGGTTGGGGGAGGGATTACCTCATGCTTGCAATCCCAGCTCTCAGGAGTCTGAGGATGGAAGATTGACAGGAAGTTTGAACAAGTTTAATCTATATACTGAGTTCTAGGTCAGCTTGGGGTATAGGGTGGAACCATCTCTAAAGAAAAACAAAACGTAAAGGAGAACAAAAATTCCAGAGTACAACAGGGAAAGAATTCTCTCTCTAATACACAGTATTGGGATAACTGGATATCTATATGCAGAAGAATGAAATTGAGTATATCTCACATACCAGGTGCAAATACCAAATGTATTGAAGACTTAAATATAAGACTTGAAACCATAAAAATACCAGAAGGTATCAGGAAAAGCACGATGGCGGGAGTCCGGCTGTGACTTTGGATGCATTTTAAAAGCACAGGCTACCAAAGCAAAGACAGAAACCACAAGCTTCTTACCCTGAAACAAACTTCTGCACAGAGAAGAAAACAGTCAGCAGAGCCTCAGGCTGCCTACAGAGTGGGAGAAAGTCAGTACAATCGCATATCACATGAGGATTTGCAACTCAATATATATCCAGCACCATAGCTAGAAAACAAATAACCTGACAAAATGGAGCAAAGGATCAAGAGAGACAACTGATCTATGAAAATGTGGCCAGCTCATGAGTGACCCGGGAATAAGTATCAAAGCCCTGTGAGGTATACGTCTCTCCTATCCTATCAGAAAGAGGAAAGAGCTGGTGCTAGTGAGATGTGGAGAAAAGAGGTTGCTTGCTCAGTTTTGATGGGATGTAAATTACAACAGCCGTTAAAGGCACCAGCATGAAAATTCCTTTAGAAGTTTAGCAATAAAGCACATTGCCGAGAGTCATGGACTCACAATTGCTCTGTCCATGGTGAGGTTCCTTGTCTTCTGAGAAACTGGTTCCTCCCCACTCACAGCAGACACTCAAGCTACCGTCTGCTCATCAGTGGACAGAGAAAACAAAGCAGATACACATGGGACTGAAGCTTCTCA